GACTACAAATAGCATGTGATGTTGCATGTGGTTAGTAAGCAAATCCTTAGAATCTACTTAATTGCATTTAATTTTGGCTTCTATAATCATAATGATTAGCAACCACATGGGTTCTATTTTAGGTCTAGAGTATCTTCATCATGGTTGCACGCCGCCTATAGTCCATAGAGATGTTAAGTGTACCAACATCTTACTGAACGAAAAGTTTCAAGCGAAACTAGCAGACTTCGGGTTATCCAGAGCTTTTCCGACAGAAGGTGCTACGCATATTTCAACATTAGTTGCTGGCACTCCTGGGTATCTTGACCCTGAGTAAGTTTTTCCGAATCTTATCTATAATAACTCATATTTAAGTTTTTCTTGAATCCTTTGAATTTGATTTTTTTAACTGCTATCTCCAACGATTTTTTAAAATATAACATAATTGTACGTGTGACTGGTGTACTGCTTTCTTCAAGTTTTATGTTTTCCTTGGATCTTTTGCTTAAATATAATATGAATTAATCTGGCTTGCAGGTATCAGTCGTCATACAGATTGACCGAGAAAAGTGATGTTTATAGTTTTGGGGTTGTGCTTATGGTGATAATTACAGGACGACCAGCAATAGCCAGATATGATAATGACAACAAACATATAAGTCGATGGGTTAATTTAAAGCTCTCAGATGGGAATGTAAAAAGCCTGATTGATCCTAGGTTACAAGGAGAATTTGACATCAACTCAGCAGGGAAGGCAGTAGAATTGGCACTGACTTGTGTTGATGACATGCCCAACAGACGACCAACCATGAAGGAAGTGGTTATGGGTTTAAGTGATTGTTTGGAAACTCTTCAGGAGTGCAAACCAGAAAATTTGACAGGAATCATATCTCTTACTTTGGAGAATGCAACTTGATACAAATCATAGATGTTGAATTAAACACACATTTGTTATGCGAAAATGCTTTTTTAAAGATCATTTGTAACTGATATATATTAGCTCATGACAATAAAAGTATCAAAATATGTAGGGTTTATCAGACTTGTGAAAGGAACAAATTAAAGTGATCAAATGATCAATCACCGGGTATTACTTTCTGAATATGTAACTCACGAATTTTACCAAAAAGATTCAAGTTTTCTACTACGTTGTAATAATTAAATAGGTAGTCAACAGTCGATGCAAATTGAATCTCATCTGAAAAGTAACACCTAGGGCTTACAATTCAACGTCTGGATATAGAAATTTGCAGCTATCTTCTATGACAATACGATAATACTAACAATTTTACAGTGAGAGAGAGAGAGAGAGAGAGAGAGAGAGAGAGAGAGAGAGAGAGAGAGAGAGAGATCACCGAGTATGAACATAGGGAGAGAGATATGCTCAGAAGGGTAGTCCCTAGATGCTGAAAAGAATGATCAAAGGCAATACATGAATACCAAAACCAAAAATGCAAGATTAAAAAAATGATGAAAAATATTTAAAATTCTTTAAATTTCACAAATCATTCAAATAAGAAGGGGTTGTCCAAATAAAGGAGGTCGTTTGATGTGTTAGAGCTTCGAATCAATGAAGTAAGAGATGTTCTTATTGTTGTTTGGGTCCAGTAGGTTTTGTAGGCTATATAAAAAGCCTTTTCTTTATTTTTCTGAATAGATGAAGTGCAGCCGTTTGTTGAGTCTCAATTGTTTTCATCCTTTCACTTTGTATTACTCACTTTTAACAGAGGTGTACATCGGTTATGTTGATGCACAAAGAAGGGCCTGATATCTAACATTTGGTATCAGAGCCTAGGCTCCATGGAAGAAAGCTAGCGGCAATTTCATGACAAATTGTATGAAGAGTTGAAGATATTGCTGCTGCAGACAAGACCGCCAGGAAGAAGAAAGAAGAAAGAAAGAAAGACGATAGAAAGAAAGAAGATAGAAAGAAAGAAAGAAAGAAAGAAGATAGAAAGAAGAAAGAAGGTAGAAAGAAAGAAGATAGAAAGAAAGAAAGAAAGAAAGAAAGAAGATTGTAACAACCCATTGTTGTTTACTTGAGAAAGAAAGAAACAGAAAGGTATAATTCTTTTTACCCAATTACTTGCAAAAGTTTGAAGAATGGCAGGAGGATCAAACCAAGGGGGTTCAAAAGAAATTGCAGTTCAAGGTACCGTTGTACCATTTCAGTGCCCTAAATTAACAGAAACTAACTACACCACTTGGTCTATTATGATTGAAACTGTGTTAAGGGCAAATGGGCATTGGGATGCTATAACCAAAGATGTGGTTGAGGAGAAGAAAAATTATACCACTAAAGGTATAATTTTTGAAACTCTACCAAAGAATGTTCTTTTGCAGTTTGCTAAACACCAAAAGTATCAAAGGGGTGTGGGAATCAATCAAGGTCCGGTATATAGGAGCCGAACGGGTGCAAAAAGCAAGACTACAAACATTGAGAAACGAATTGGAGATGCTAAAGATGAAGGACAATGAGTAAATCAATGACTTTTCGGGAAAAATAAGTGGTATTGTTGCCAAATTCAAAAGTCTTGGTTCAACTCTTGAAGAGGAGGTGATTGTAAGAAAATTTCTTAATTCGGTTCCAAAGAAGTATTTGCCCATTGTAGCTCCCATTGAACAATATTCCGATCTTGAAACTTTGACATTTGAAGAAGCGGTTGGAAGGGTTAAAGCTTATGAAGATAGGCTTCAAAGTATTGAAGAAAAAGTTGAAGAGCAAGATCAACTCATGATGGCAAGTGAACAAAAATATGGTGAAAGTAGTGGACACGGAAGAGGACGTGGAAGGAACTTTGAAAGAGTTGAAAGGGGCCGAGGAAGAGGATGAGGTCAAGGTGATAAAAGTGGATTTCGGTGCTTTAACTGTGGAGACTTTGGGCACTTTAGTTATGAGTGCACAAAGTGGAATGATAAAGACAATGATAAAGAAGCAAACTTGATTGAAGAGGAAGAACCGACACTACTTTGATGAAGAAACGAGTCAATATTAAGGGGGTGAAGATGTTTACAGTTCATCCTTTTCTTACAGAGGAGGAGCGCATTGAGAGATTTCTCGTAGTTGATGTAGGGGACTTGGACGATTGTGTCTGTATTCAAACTTCCGAAGTCGTTTAATCATTTCGGAAATTTTATGGCGAGAGAACAAGCCACGACATTGAAGGTCGTCGAGCTCATTGACCATGCGCTCGAACTCGTATTGTACTACGCCCGTCATCATTACTATGTCGGAGAAAGTGAATAACAGTATGTGAAGGATTTTTGCTAGTTTGGTTATTGACAGCACTGGTGTTGGTTACTTTCCCCTCTCTTCCCCGTACTTGCAACTTTTTGATTAGTGCACAATTGGCCCCTAATTAAAATGAATACCTATCTGGTCCTCATATATATTTTCATTTCTTAAGTGTGATAGTCGACGATGATTTTACAATGATTTTATGATGATATTTTATGACCATTAGGTTAATAACTTTTTTTAAATTTCTCGGTGATTATTAGTTTATGGTTATGGTTATTATTTGTTTATTATATTCTAGTTTTAATACTAAAGGAATAACATTATTACTTATAAAACTCCTAAAAGTAAGTACTTTTGAGTTGACAAAAGATCAAATGGCGTTTGTTAACTTGTAAAATTCGTTTTTTTTTAACGTCAAGCAGGACTTTATTAGCACAAAAACTATCCAGGGGCTCGGAGGAACAAAAACAGTAAAAAAAGAAAAAATTGAAAAAAAAACAAGTAATTTTAAATCTTGTTATAACATTCTAAAATGGGATCACAGCTCCATTGTATCCATCTTAATTGAAGACCTTTCCGTTTACAAGCATTAATCCATAAGTATGAGAGGGATTGAACCTCATGAGTCAGCACCAAATGCGACTTCAACTTTGACGAGTAAGCTTTAAGGTTTCTATAGCTCCAGATCACCCAAATGAACACCAACATTATAGCTTCGTGAATTAGTGACAATCATTGGTGACCACCTAGCTTTGATATATATTTAAGCAACTCATGCACCGAAATAGAGGGGTAATCTAACAAACGCCACCAACTGCACACATGTTGCCAGATGTCTTTCAATGTCGGGCACTTGACAAAAATATGGTCCCTCGTTTATGGGGCTCCGTTGCATGTCCTACATATGCTCGTTCACACAATACCGAGTTTGTTGAAATTTTCCATAGATGACAGCTTACCATGACAAATTCTCCAGGCCAAAATATATTAGTTTCCTAGGTACAAGAGGATTCCAAGACCAACTACCATGGGAGGATAGACTTGTCAATGATATTTCTGAGAGATGTGACTGTGTAATCCCCTGAGTGGTCTAATAACCATTTCAACATACTTGATCCATCAACATTGATTACTGGTTCAAATTGATCTAAATTAAAGCACCACATTTTCCTTCTCAAAATTTTTAGAGATATTAGCAATTGATCCCCATCAACCATTCCGCCTCTTAGCAACCAAGGGACTATGAAAACCCCGCTAGGACCATAAATACATATTATCACTTCAACCCATATAACATTAGGGCAATAGGTAAATCTCCACCGCCACTTCCCTAAAAGAGCAATATTTTGTGCCTTTAGACTTCCAATCCCGAGCCCACCCCTATCTTTCGATACAAGAACCTTATCCCATACAATCCATGCCAACTTTTTATTCTCTATGTCCCCACCCTAAAACAAAGAAAATGCAATGAAAATTATTCTTGGTAATTAAGCAACAAATGCACTTGGTAATTAAGCGACAAATGTAGTGGTGATTATTTTTCGTCACTAAGTTTCCAATGCAATGACTATTAATTTTTGGTCATTAAGAGTCAAATACAGTTATGGTTAATTTTTTCACTAAGTCTCCAATGCAGGTGTAACACCCGGTTCCTGGTACGTATTTAAATTCAAGTAACTCCATGTTTTGCTTTGGGACTCGGCGAGTTGGAGGCCCAACTCGACGAGTAGACTCGACTTTTGATCGCGGGGTTAAGTGACCTACTCGACGAGTCGGGAGACTGACTCGACGAGTAGGATTTTCTGGATGAAACCCTAATATTTGGGTTTGCACCCTATTTAAACAACTTATAACGCCCAAATCCAGCCTCCATCGTCCCTCCCATCCCAGAGAAAACCCTAACTCGAACCCTAAGCCTCTATTGTGTGTTCTTGAGCTTGTTGGTACCCTTTTTGTGTGTTTTTGAAGTTTGAAAGGAGGAAGGAAGCTTGGGAGTTCAAGTAGAAGCAAGAAGATCCAGAGGTTTTGCTCCATTCTCAGCTCATTCAAGATAAAAAGCTGGAACCTTGACCATCTATCTCTTAGATCTTGATTTGGGACTATTTCCTACCCCTTTTTATGAGTTAGAGAGGCTATAATCGGATTTTGTGTGTGTGCTTGGAGTTGCACTTCAGATCTGGAACTATTGGGGGGTCCTTATGGCATAAAGGTGCCAACGTTGTTGCCACAAGCACCCCATGCATCTTATAGATTTCTTTTATGAAATTGACTTACAGGGCTATTATTGTATATGTAAACTGTGGGAGGTATCAGAGATACCATGTGTACATGCCTAACCTTCGAGTCTGTATACACAACAAGATCTTGTGACTTTCATTAGCAGTTGGTTTCATTTGGAGAAATACCTTTTGTCTTATGGTTCTAACATACTACCAGTTAGTAGTAGGAATCTATGGGTGGAATCTCCTTATACAAAGCCACTACCACCTAATGAAAGAAAGATAATAGGAAGGCCATCCGTCAAGAGAATAAGGCATGTTTCTGAACATGAGGAAAAGTTATCACAAGTCTCAACTAAGGGAAAAATTGTCCAGTGTAAAAAGTACGTGCAAAAGGGTCATAATAAGGTATCTTGCAAAAATCCCAAGGTGATCCCTGATCCAAAACCAAAGAGG